CTCTGCACCTGCCAGGAATTGCCATGCTCAAGTCACTGAGAGAACACTGTCAGGGTCTATGGGCTATACTATTACCCAACCTGTTCCCTTCAATGGCCTCAGGACTGACAGTGGACAATGCTAGGTGCCCGGGTGTAATCCTAAATCATGATATTGATGAAATCATGAGTATGATGTTTTTGTAACACTCATTAAAATAAAGACGTAATTGGGTTGAACTTGCATGAACCACTGGACACTGGGCTGGGCAGCCCTAAATGTAGCCCCGACCCTGCTGCCCCGGCCCCGTTGCCCTCCCGGCCCCGCTGCCCTGGCCCATACTGCAGTGACTGCAGTTCTTGGGTCTGCCCTTCTCCCCCTTTCGACCGGCACTGCAGGGGCAGGGGTGCATCTTCATAGCTGCTGTATCCCCAGCACTGTGCCTGGCCTGAGGCAGGCAGAAAAGAAGAGGTGGGCTGGGCCCCGAGGGGAGCCCAGGGCCTGAGGAGGGCCAGGAAGGGAACAGCCGGAGGTTTTCGAGGATGTACTGGGCCAGCCACATACTGTGGGCCTACATACTGTGGGCCCACTCACCCCTAAACTCATCCAAATCTACCACATGGCAGAGGAAATTCCAATTTTCCCCTGATTTTCATGTTTCCGCCCCTAGAATAATTGTTATCGTGGACTCTGTGGCTGGGCTGTCGAGCCTCAGGACAGAAGGCTGCCCCAGCCCTGCCTGTGACAAGCAGGAGATGAAAGCGACTCATCAGGCCTGGGGAAGGCTCCGGGATATGGCAGCAGCCTCGCAGAGGTGGCCGCCTGGCCCCAGACCACAGGGAGGAGGAGGAGCTCCAGTTTGCTTGGCCAGCATGTCAGGTCCCTAGAGGCGGCTATGCCAGGGCATTTCCCTAACTGGATTCCCGAGTGAGGGGCAAGGCCGCTGAAGTCCCAGGCATCAAGGCTGGAACATGGGGACCCCCCCGCCCTTTCCCAGCATCACTGACCCTTTCCTAGGAACCCCCACCCCTGCCCCCACCTGCCTGCCCCTGCTTTCTCAGCCTGAGTGGCCACCACCTCCTCCCACTGGAACCAGACCCTCATCTGTGTGTCTCATTCTGTGCCCATGCTCATGAGCAGACCTCTATATCCACCACACTCACCGGACGCTTCCCATGTGCCGGGCTTTCTTAAGATCACTTATTTACTTACTTACTCATATTAGTCTTTGATGATTTACTTGTTTTTTTGCGGGGGGGAGGTTGTGTTGTTGTTTGTTTGTTTTCAATTTGTTTTGTTTTGTTGAGACGGAGTCTCTCCCTGTTGCCCAGGCTGGCACGATCTCAGCTGACTGCAACCTCCACCTCCTAGGTTCGAGCGATTCTGTCGCCTCAGCCTCCTGAGTAGCTGGGACTACAGGCGTACAGCACCTCGCCCAGCTAATTTTTGTATTTTCAGTAAAGACAGGGTTTCACCATGTTGGCCAGGCTGCTTTCGAACCTCTGACCTCAGGTGATCCACCTGCCTTGGCCTCCCAAAGTGCTGGGATTATAGGTGTGAGCCACCGTGCCCAACCTGGGTTTTTTTAAAATTTGAAATAGAGTCCTACTCTGTCACCCAGGTGGATCTGGCCGCCTGATTCATCAGCCACATGAAAGGCTGAGACATGGGGGATTTATGGGAACCACACCCCTGACACCCATATCCTCATGAGGAGGCAGGCTAGACGGATGTAATGCAAGGGAGAGAGACGCTGATGAAGAGCAATTGGTCACCCTGGATCCTGCATATAGCCCATGGAGGGCTTCACATGCCCACCGCTGCGGGCACTGGTACCCCCTTACCTAGGGGCGTCTGGGAAGGGGAGATGCCACCCCCAACCCAGCTCACGCCAAGGGCACCGCTGAGGATGATGCTGGGTATACAGTCTGCTACAGGTAGCTCCATGGTCCCCAGGTGGTCTCGAGCTCCCCCCAGCTCCCAGCACACAGTAGGCCCTTAATATTTGCTGGATGAGTCAGTGAATGCACGCTTCAGTCAGGCTGCTCCTCAGGGTGGGGTGCAGGGCCAAGAGGGAGCTGCACCTTCCTTCCTCCTTCTCCACCAGCACTACACCTCTCAAGCGCTTCCCTTATACTTTTTCATCTTCATCCAAGAATGTGATTAAGGTTTCCTCGCAGGTACTCTCGGCTTAGAACTGCCTGGAGACAATTCTGTTAAGCCGTGGATTCCTGAGTCCCCGGGATTCCCCACAAGGTGACTGGCAATAACTATCTCCTTGATGACTGAATGAATGGATGGATGGATGAAAGGGCATCTTTCAGGTCCTGGCCTATGGGAAACTCTTGATAACTATGGCATGAATAAATGAGTAAATGAATGGATGGATGGATGAACGGATGAAATATCTAAGTCCAGGGCTTCGTCTAAAGGAGGCACTTGAAAACTATGGTATGAATGAATACAGAATGAGAAATGAGAAAAGGAATGAATGAATGACCTAATCACAAAGAAGCAGCAAGGAGCCACTCAAGAGGCCCCTGTAAGGTGGGGCCTAGGAGCTGGGGACGGAGCCTCCAGTGGAAGCCAGGGAGTGAATAAGCCTGACCTGACCACTCTCCTGACTGCCTGGGTACAGAGGGGCTGCCCCCAGCAGAACCTGTCCAGCGTCACCAAGGTCCCTGAGGTCCCCTCGCATTATAGCAGAATGCAATTAGTCCCGTCTTCAGTGGGGCCTGAATTTGTTATGATTTTTCGTGAAACAGCCTCTTAGAGCCAGGGAAGGAGCAAGGGTATGAGGATCATGGTGCATGAAAGGTGGCAGAAGGAACAGCTCAGCTACGCAACCTCAGCCTGAATCCTGGGAAAACGGCATTAAAATAAAGGAGACACGGAGCTGGGGGGCAGGGGGAGGGGGCTGGCCTTATATATTCAGACCAGAGCTGAACAAATGGATGGATTTAATAAGCTAATAAGCTGAGATTCCATGCTCTTAAAGATACAGACTCAAGCTGGGCATGGTGACTCACGCCTGTAATCCCAGAACTTTGGGAGGCTGAGGCAGATGGATCACCTGAGGTTAGGCGTTCGAGACCAGCCTGGCCAACATGGTGAAACCCTATCTCTACTAAAAACACAAAAATTAGCCGGGCATGGTGGTGGATGTCTGTAATTCCAGCTATTCGAGAGGCTGAGGCGGGAGAATTGCCTGAACCTGGGAGGAGGAGGAGGTTGCAGAGTGCCAAGATCGCACCACTGCATTCTAGCCAGAGCAACAGAGTGAAGCTTCATTTCAAAAAAAAAAAAAAAAAGATACGACTCAGCAGTGGGATTTGGGGTGGGGGGGTCTCCATATTTTTCTGGGAAAACCCCTCAAGTGGATGCCTTTCTTCACACACCACACTGGAGAATAACGGTATGTGAGTATGCATGTATGTACGTCACGGATTTGTGTCTTCCCCACCTGGAGGACCCCCAAAACTCACCAGAAACTTCCTAACTTCCTAACCAGGCCCCGTGAACAAGTGCACCCCTCCACAAGGGATGCACAGCCAAGCAGCCCCCTGGTAATTTTTTCAGGAGAAAGTCAGGCCAGTCAAGCACAAGACGGTGTTACCTCCTTCCCAGCCTGGACTTTCCTCTCCCTGCCCAGTGGACCAACAGTAAAAAGTGAGCATTTCCGGTTCATCTTGAGAACCTCCTCGCATCCATTCACTTGATCGGCCAGCCACTGCACTGTTGAAATATTTATGGAGTGCCTCCTCTGTGCCAGACTCTGCTGCAATTACTGGGGCAGCGAGCACACCCAGCAAAGCCCTGCCCCCCAGAGGCTGCATTCAAGGGGCAGCCGGATCACGTCAAGGAAGGCTCTGGAGCCAGGGAGCCTCAGTTCAAAACCCAACTCCACCACTGACCACTGGTGTAAACCAGGATACGTTAATGGACCTCTCTAATCTTCATCAAGAGAAAAAACAGCCAGAGAATCCTTTCTGCCTCCTCGAGTTGTGCAGAGAATGAGATGAGGTGCCAGAGGTTAAGCACGCTGGCCCAGCGCCTGGCACATGGCACATGCTCAATGAACAGACCAGCGGCATCAAATGCGGAGACCGCTGGGCAGAGCCCTGGTTCTCTGTGAAACCCCCGCCCTTGGTGAACCCCACCCCCACTCCCAGGTTACGCTTCCCGAAGCATCCCCAGTTTGCTACCTCCTTATGTCATTCCTGCCCATGTTGTGTCATTAAGAAAGACAGTCCCCTTGAATGGCTCTGGTCCACCCCCGACCCAGTCCTTAAATCTCTTCTACAAAGAGGTTTGGTTCCTTCCCTTCCAGTGAAGTGGAATCCACTCCCTTCTGAATTCTCTTAGCCTGCAAGAAGAAATGATCACCTGATGAGCCCCCAAGGAGGGCCTGCTGACCTCCTCTCAGGGACAGGAATAACAGGACCCCCTGACCAACCATCCTCCAAAAGGAAGGACAGTGAGTCACCTGCCATATGGCAGCCATTTTTAAAAATGACATTGCAATTTACATTCTTTCATTCCTTCCATAAATATGAGTAAGTACCTACTCTGCCAGCCCTGTTTGAGGCTCTGGGGATAGGGAAGGAAGAAATAAAGTCCTCGCCCTCAGTGAGCTTACAATGCAAGGAGAGGAGACTAAATCTTCCTGCTGAAGAAGGAATAAATCAGTCTGTAGGGAGTCACGTGTTGCTATAAAGAAATGCAGGGCAGGAAAGGGGTGGAGAGTGGGGTGCCACTCTGGACAGGTGACAAGGCAACACTTGAGCAGACACTAGAAGCAAGCAAGGCAGCAGACCAAGGCAGGATCTGGAGAGAGAGTCCCAGGCAGGGATCTAGCAGGTGCGAGCACCCTGAAGCCAGAGCATGCAAACGGGCACGTTTTCTGAGATGTCCACATGGGGCTCAGCGTGAAGACACGTGCCCAGCCTTCTAAGATCACAGGCCAAGCTGTCATCCAAAACCCCACAGGGATCCAAAATCCAACCCCAGCATCAACTCACTGTGTGATCTGACACTGGTCTCTCAACCTCTCTGGTTTTGGTTTCGGCAACAGCTAATCAGAACTGAGCATTCTCCAAGCAGGAGCTGGCAGAGGAGGCCCCCGGAGTCCTCCCGAGTCTGCGGCTCTGTGCAGTTGCGCACCCACCATTCCTCTCCACCCCATCGCGCCATTCTCACACCCCGCGCCAGCAACACCACGCAGGATTGGTACTCTTGCCAAAATAGCTATTAACCCAGTAGCCAATAATAACACGTTATCCTATCAATTTGCTTCTGAAACGCTGTGTAATTGCAGAACCTAAGTTTGCCATCTCGGTAGCCTGGTTACCACATAAACAGAAAGAAACTCACCAGCCTCTTCCCCAGGAGAACAAGTGGCTGGCCACGAGAAACACCCAATCACCACGGAGGCTCCGCAGCCCCCTCGAGTTCCTACAGAATCCATCAGGAATCACAGTCTGGCATTCAGTAGTTCCAAGGCTGGTCTAAACGTCCCTCTGGCATGCCACCCCTGTGACTGGAGAGGAGACCAGTGCCCAGGATGGGATGGCTTTGTAGGTGGCAAAGTCAGGCCCGGCAGCTATACTCCGGTGGCCTCCCTCCCGGCCAGTGGTGCAGGAAGTGGGACAGATGTGAAGCTTTGAGAGGGCACGGGAGAGGGCAGGAGACAGGCAGGCAAGCACTTGGGTGCAAAAACCATCACAGATGCAAGCCGGCCCTCTCCACAGGAGACAGAAGGGACAGAAGGTCAACAGGCAAGGCACAGAAGGAAAGACAGGAGAGACACAAGGGAGGGGCTCCAGACCTAGGATTGACGGTGGGTCCCAGGGCCCTCCCCACTCCCATGCCGCAGGCCCGACCCAGGTCTGACACCCTGGCCACCACCGCCTGCTGGCAGCTGGCCGCCCACTTTTCCTCTCTCATTCCTGAAAAAACGTTTCCTTCCTTCTGGATTTCATTCCACTCTAAGCAAACATTCTGCTCCCCAACACACCGGGAGCCTCTAAGGGGACTCGGCGTTCCGGTGCAGACACCAGCCTGTTTTATTCATTCTTCCCCACTCCAGCCTGGCCACCCCTCACCACTGTCCCATGCCTCCGCTTACCTCTCCCCCTGCTCACCAGGGCGTCCCAGAGGGCCAAAACCTAAGCCTGAGTTCCCAGCAACCAGAGGCAGAGCAGGCAAGGGCTGGAGAGGCGCTTCCCTCTGGCCCACTGGTGATCTCAGCCACGGGATGCATCCCCACCCGCCTGCCTGGGCCGGCAGAGAAGGATGGGCCGAGGGTGTGCTGCTCCGGCGGCGGCGCTTGGCGGAGGACCCAGCTAGCAGGAGAGGAAGGGCCTTGGGGAAGAAAAGGGGCTGGGAAAAGGCACAGATGGGGAGGGAGAGGACAGAGGAGGCCCAGGGCTCAGGCCACGCGGCCAGATGTTGACCCAGTTGAAGGATCCAGGCCCTGGGGGTCGACTGGGGAGTTCTGGTCCCCCTGCCAGCTCTGGGATTCTACAGAGATGGAGGAGGGCCTGGGGCCGGCACCACGCCAGGGCCTGGTGCTGAGGCTGGGGTTAAAGGGAAGACCACAGAGAGGGAGCAAAGGTTCTCTCTCGGACACCGCCCCTGTCTGCCAGGACAGGGTGGGGGGAGAGCCCCTGGGAGGCCCCTGGGTGGGGTGGGTGGGGATCTGTCTGCGGGAAACAGCTCTTAGCAAATGAAAACCAGGCCTCAGAAACTGGCCGGGCCACAACCAGGGCACAGCTCCAGGGAAAACCCCGCTGCATACTAAAAGGTGCCCCAACCAGGGCGAAAGGTAGTGTCAAAATGAATTAGCAAGGAGGGGCCAGGCAGACTGAACGAGATCGGGGTGGTCCCCGGCTGCAGCCCCATGATCCCTGCTCCCTTGTGCTCTGAATGTCCCTCATTGTGGGTACCTTGTACTCCCAAGGCCTGCTTGCCTGTAAATGCTGTAAAAAGCCAACTAACTATGCAATTTTCTTCCCTTGGCTTCCCTCCGCTGAGCCTTGGTCAGGTTCTCAGCAGAGCTGGGCCTGGGGCTGGGGACCAGCCTGGCCGGTCAGGCCTGAAGTCCCCACTCCCACCATATTTGGAAATTCAACCCTCAATGCTGCATTGAGGCCCACAGAGGTTGGTACTTCCGAATTTGTAGGACCCCAGGGTCCCGCAATCAAGAGCTTGGTGGGAAGTGGCGTTCAGTGAATAAGGATGTCACCCACACATCCTTTCATTCACGCATTTGGTTATTCACAGGATGTCTCTGACGTGCCTATAGCCCAGCGGGCACTTAGGTGGTGAGGGTAGGAGGATGAACCACACTGGCAGCTCTTGGCCTAAGCAGTTCACAGTCTAGGAAGAAGGACAACATTTGACCCTCTGTGTTTTCTAGGAGAAGTGTGTGGGGCCTAGGGGGGAGAACAGGGACACAGTGAGGGTGCCAGGGCCCTCCTGGAACTCCTGGAAAAAGCAGGCTCTCCATGGAGATCAGCAGGATGAAGAAGAATTCGCCAACTGATGGAAGCAAGGGGCAGAAACTAGCTCCAAGCAGCAGGACCAGCGCAAGCAAAGGCCTGGAAGTGAGACTGAGGTCTCCGGCAGGCTGCACTGGGTCTCCTCTGCTCCTTGCTCTCAGCCACAGTGGGTGGCCCAGCCGTGGCAGTGCCGCCCCCACCCCCCTCGCAGACTCGGGGAGCCCCCCATCAGCACCTCTGGAGACCAATCCCACAGAGCCGCCGTCCAGGCGTCTCTTTCCCAGCTGAAGTTCTAGTTAAAAATGTCTTCATATGTTTATTTTTAAGGGGGGATGGGAAGGCAGAAGGGAGACCTGAAGGTCTTTTTCTTTTCAGAAAAAAAGAAAATTAATAAATAAATAGAGCCTCAAGAAAAGGGCATGGAAAGGTCTCTGCATCTGTAACCACTGAACAAATTAAAATTAGCTCATTTAATCAGCTCCTAATGGCCTGGCTGTCCCGAGTGGGCCCCGGAACACAGCAAACTTCACAGCAGAAACGCGCAGGCCAATGTCAGTTTATCCTACAACAAAGGGATTTTCTAAATAGTGCGATCAAAACGCAGCAAAGGCCGGGAGAGCTGGGGAGACGGAACGCGGCCCCCAAGATCCTCGCTGGCCCCCGCCTCCCAGCTTCGTCCCTTTGAACAGAATTGTTCTTTTGGCTTTTGTTCTAATTATCTAAACATGTGTGTAACTCTGTTCTATAAAGAGTGTTTTAACCAGCAGAGGAGGTAACTCTAGCCCCTACCATACGTTCCTGGGGCCACTCTCTCAAGCCTCACGCCTTTAATACCTTCCCATTCCCTACTTGTCTTCAACAGAGGCATAAACACACCTACAACTGGCCACCTACATACGCCAGTCACAGTCACACACAGTTACAAACACACACAGTTCTACACACATGATCACGTATTACACCAGCTACATACACATAGTTATATGTGAACAGTTACATACATTCACGGTTGCCCATTCTACATGCATAAAGTTACACAGACACACAGCTCTATACACACATCACATATAACACATTACATAGGCATGGTTATATATACACAGTTACACGCGTGCATGCACAATTAACCACCCAGAGTTACGTAACCACACACAAGTACATGTGCACACAATACACCCAGCTCCTCCAGCTCCTGCCTAACAGCTGGAGGTCGGGGAGCCCCAGCTCACCAGACCCCCAGGGAGGAACGCTGGGTGCACACCTGAGGCCCAGGCTGGTAGTAAGGACTCATTTCCCTGGGGTAGCTTCTCTATGCAACTTGCCACCTGGGCTAAATTATTAGGGCAAATGGCCAGGGAGGGGGGCTGGGGCCACAGAAAAAAGGGCAGGGTGGGAGAGCACGATGCCAGGGGGAAGCACAAGCCCGTGGCCCAGTGCGGAGGAAGGAGGCCATGCCATCACCAACGACGACCTCAACTTCCCTTCCCATGGCCTCTAAACCGGCCAGCCTGCAGCTCTGCCTTTAGGCCCAGGCCGCCTTAGGTGCTCAGCCCACAAAGAAATAAGCCTACAGTCAGTCAGGTCTAGCTGAAATCCCAACTCCACCCCTTACTAACTCTGAGCCTCCCCTTCCTCATCCAAAAAAAATGAGAAACAATAGTAGTCCCTATCTCAGGGGGCAGTTGTGCTGATTTCATCAGAGATGCCAGTAAAATGCCTAGGCCAGAACAAACTGGATCAGTGTTTGCCACTCTGGCAACTGAAAGGTGTGGCATGGAGCCCGAGAGAAGACCATCAGACAGTGGGTCAGGGCGCAACCAGACAAGAGCTGGCCATTTGACGACTTTCAATTTCTTACGCAACCCTCATCCTAGAGTGAGGAAGGGGAGAATTTTAAAACTGGATAAAAGAAGCCACGCGTGATGGCTCACACCTGTAATCCCAGGACTTTGGGAGGCTGAGGTAGGGAGTTCAAGACCATCCTGGCTAACACGGCAAAACCTCCTCTCCACTAAAAATACAAAAAATTAGCCGGACATGGTGGCACATGCCTGTAGTCCCGGCTACTCAGGAGGCTGAGGCAGGAGAATTGCTTGAACCCGGGAGGCGGAGGTTGCAGTGAGCCGGGATCACACCACAGCACTCCAGCCTGGGCAACAGCGTGAGACTCCGTCTCAAAAAATAAAAATAAACAGGGTAAAAAGAGGAACCAACTGAGATGGAGGGAAGCCTTCAGAAAACTTCTGACCCAGAGTCAGAACATATCTTCTGAAGACCTCCTGTACTGATATTTACAGCAACACCCTGGGGTAAAAGCAATTGTTAACTCCATGTCGCAGACAAGGAAACCGAGGCTGCACACAGTGGCTCATGCCTGTAATCCCAGCACTTTGAGAGGCTGAGGCAGGAGGATCACTTGAGCCCAGGAGTTCAAGACCAGCTTGGGCAGCATAGCAAGACCCTATCTATACTTGGGGAAATAGCTCCCACTAACCCACTCATGCTACAGACCCACAGCCTATAGGCTCTCCCAGCCCCAGCCCCAATAAGCACCAGGCCCCCAGGAGGAAGGAGGGGTGGGCAGGGAGGTGAAGTGCATGGGCTTGTGTTTGAATCTTGGCTCTGTCATCTACCTGCTGTGTGACCTGGGGCAAATGACCTCCCTTCTCTGAGCTGCAACCATCAACTATAAAGTGAAGATGGTGACAATGCATGTCTCCTTCCTTACTTGAGGACTGAAGGGAAGTTTCCAGCTCAGTGTCTGGTCCCCCTTCCCCAGTGGCAACCGTTAGTAAGCACAGGGAGTGGGGAGAGGGGAGTGCAGAATGGTCTTAAATACATCTCGGCCAGGCACAGTGGTTCACAACTGTGGCTCACACCAGCACTTTGGGAGGCTGAGGTAGGCAGATCACCTGAGGTCGGGAGTTCAAGACCAGCCTGACCAACATGTAGAAATTCTGTCTCTACTAAAAATACAAAATTAGCCAGGCGTGGTGACGCGTGCCTGTAGTTCCAGCTACTCGGGAGGCTGAGGCAGGAGAATCGCTTGAACCTGGGAGGCAGAGGTTGCGGTGAGCTGAGATCACGCCATTGCACTCCAGCCTGGGCAACAACAAAGAAACTGTCTTTTTTTTTTTTTTTTTTTTTTTTTTTGGGACGGAGTTTCACTCTTGTTACCCAGGCTGGAGTGCAATGGCGCGATCTCGGCTCACCGCAACTTCTGCCTCCTGGGTTCAGGCAATTCTCCTGCCTCAGCCTCCTGAGTAGCTGGGATTACAGGCACGCGCCACCATGCCCAGCTAATTTTTTGTATTTTTTTAGTAGAGACGGGGTTTCACCGTGCTGACCAGGATGGTATCGATCTCTTGACCTCGTGATCCACCCGCCTCGGCCTCCCAAAGTGCTGGGATTACAGGCTTGAGCCACCGCGCCCGGCCAGAAACTGTCTTTAAAAAAAATCCATTTCATCTCCTACATGGCGTCCCCTAAAGGCCCAGGCCACCATCCCCAGGGAGCGGGATATGGGGCACCTCTCTTTCAGATGCAGCAGGACTGTCCCC